AATTCTTTGGCGCTCAGCCTTTCTTATGGTCTTATTTTGGTTAATTATGTTCTATTCTTTGTTTCCCTTGTGTTCACTATCCAGAATCCATAGTCTTAGTTAAGCGGCCATATAAATGCTTAAATAAATCCTAATAATTCTAAAATACTTAATCATCTTTGATATTTTCCCCCCAGAAACATCCAAGCCGTAGTAACCTTAAAATCAAAATCTTTCTACAAACACATTCATCAATTTTAAATGTATAGTGGTACCTTGGTACACATCGTTAATTCATTTCAGGAGTACTAAAAACAATGCGTACCAAAAAAATTTCCCATAAGGAATAATGTAGTGAGTCACAAGGCAGCAGAGAGCAACAAGTTCTAGCTTGACAACAAGCTCTAGCTTCTGCATTGAGTACCAAACAAAAAATGAATATCAGAACAAAATTTTCATGTCAATATGTACTGAGTACCAAATTTGATGAGTTTCAAAGCAATTGAGCACTAAGGTACCACTGTAATTTTATATTAATATTTAAGATTAATATTTACTATAAAATATATAATTTACTCTGGTTTTTAAATGCTGTGGAATTGCAACTTCTTAAAATGTTAAAACAAGTTGGGTGCTTCCCCAAGAAATAAAACTATTATTTTCATTGATGTTATGGTTGGCCAAAAAACAAATATTCTGTTTTCCAGAATAAAGTTTTACAGCGCTCCCTCTTGCTGCACATGGACTTTTTCCCAAGTGTCCCCACCACCTTTCTAAGTTGATTGTAACCCCCAAGGATACAACTCAACCTGAAGCTTGAAAATCTGCTGTAACTCATTATTTAATCTTGCTGCAAAAATTGGTTTACATTAACCATTTACTTACACAGTGTGGTATTTGCTGTATATTACAAATCACTTCCTGCTTCTTGATCTATAAACCAAACCCCAGAGCATAATGCCATTTAAAATACTACAAACAGCTCAAGTCAGAACAGATTATCAGTGAGAAGCCTGGCCATAGCCTTCAAAAACAGTACAAATCAACTTTTGCAATACAATATTTAAAACACAGATTTGGGGTTTCAGCAACTACTAGTTGATCAAGTGGCCTGAATGAAGCAAAATATGACTTAATTATTAGGAGCTGAAATTTTAAAAATAATACTGTGGTGTTTGCAAGATGTCCATCTTGACAAAACAATCTTGCCAAAAACTGAACCCATCAAAACATCCTTCAGGGCTAATGTCCGCATCAAAAGCAGGTACTATATTCTTTTCCACGTTACAGATCATTTGGAACGAAGAAATTTAGGGTGGAATAACAACGGTACGGAAACTGTACCTGCACAAAATCAACCAGGCTAGATCTAGCTACATTTGCACATGCAAACTTGGTTCAACTTTGGCTATACCTTATATCTGCAATTCAGGATGGAGTCCAATAGCCGCTCGCGTAGCTTTTAAGAATTTACGATTCAGAGCATCATGCAAATGCAAAGTGAATTATTTTGTCAACCAAGTTAAGCACGCTGTGCAAATCCAGACTTCAGAGATCAGACTCCTTTTAAAAGCCGCCTTTCAAATCCCCTAGCGATATATAATTCTTATTATTCTTAACCAAATCCATGTTGGGAAGGAAGAATGGGAACCGCACTCCACATTGACCGTTGCTTGCCACTGAATCCACCGAGAGCAAAATGAAGCCTCTAAGGCTGTAAAACCCACCACTGTCCCCGCGCCGCCTGGCGATCAAGCAGCCAGACACCGATCCTCCTACTCTCATTAACGCTCGCTCACTCACTCACTCACCGCTCCCGCGGAGGGACAACCCGTTTCCTCCGGACCCGGCACAGATCCGAGCGAACCGCCAGCCTTTCTTCAAGCAACGCGCGGCAAGTACATCGGCAACAACAGCCACGGTTGCGGCGCCCGCTACAAATTTCAAAGAGCGTCACACTGCCAGAAGTCCAATCGGAAGCGGAGTTTTTAAAGGCGAGGATTGCTATTGGCTGAGTGAGGGAAAGAAGCCGCAGCGGCAGATCCGCGCAGTTCCGGGGGAGAGGCTTCCGACAGCTGGAGGAAAAGGAGCTAGGAGGGCGCCTGCTGGACGCAGAGGAAAAAGTGCGGAACGCGTAGCCAATGCAATCTCATTCATTACGGTATAAAATCGTTGCAGGAAAGTCGTGTGCGTGCCTCCGAGTCAGCGTTGACTCCTGGCGATTGCCTGGACTAATTCCTACAGTTTTCTTGGCAAGATTTAGTTTGTTAGTCCACAGTAGCAAAAAAATATCAAGACTCTTGTAGCATCTTTTCCGACTAATAAATCTTATTAAAAGGCAAACGCTTTTCGTGAAAAAAAAGGCACTACTATCAGATTTCTGGTTATATATACAATGTGCGTGACATGGCTGTAGCTGATAACGCAGAAATCAAAAGGTGAAGAAATATTTTAATAGACTGATTTAAAAATGGCATTTCTAATTAAGAAACAGAAAAGGCAAAGGCAGAAATATTAAAACATTTGCACTATGAGTCGGAAGAAGTGCTATCCAATAGATACCCATTTTGAACACAATGGGAACTACTCCTAAAGTATGTTTACCTAGTTGCAGGGGTAGGCAACCTTGGCTCTTTTATGACTCGTGGACTTCAACTCCCAGAATCCTGAGCCAGCATGGCTGGCTCAGGAATTCTGGGAGTTGAAGTCCACGAGTCATAAAAGAGCCAAGGTTGCCTACCCCGTCCTAGTGTATAGTGCTGCTGGAATCACTCTGCAAAGTGTCCACAAGTTCTATCTCCCTCACCATGATTGCAACTGGGTTCTTATGGCCATGTCAGTTTTTCCAGGAAATGTGTGTTTTATGTGTGGGGTTTGACCCACTTCCCACCATGTCCTTGCTTTGACTCTTCACTCTTCATACTCCTCAACAGGAGGGAGATTCACAAGGGAAAATTACAGGTAGTCCTTGACATACAACCATTTGTTTAGTGCCAGTCAAAGTTACAACAGCACTGAAAAAAGTGACTTATGAGCATTTTTCATGCTTACAAAGGTTGCAGCATCCCCATGGTCACATGAACAAAATTTGAATGCTTGGCAACTACCTTGTATTTATTATGACTGCAGTGTCTGGGGTCATGTGTTCATCCTTTGCACCCTTCTGACAAGCAAAGTCAACGGGGAGGCCAGGTTCACTTAACAACAGTGTTACTAACAACTGCAGAGAATCACAGCTATGGCACGAAAGGTCACAAAAGAGGGCAAAACTCACTTAACCCCCGTCTCACTTACCAACAGAAATGTTGGGCTCAATTGTGGTCACAAGTTGAGGACTACCTGTATTGCAAGTTGAGTTCAACTTCTGTTGACTTTCTGGAGGCTCCCTTGGCAACAATGGGGAAGTGGCTTGTCCCTGCTTTCCACTACAAATCTGTCTAATTCTATCCTATAGTCCAGGAATTTTTCTGGGGACCTCCCACCAAGCTCCAACTAGATCAGGCCCCAGATTATCTTTTAGAGATCAGCCATGACCACCTACTTAACTGCTGCCGCGACCCTTACAATAAGTACCCCCGTCCATACTTTGCTTTTCAAACCATAGTTCAGCCCATGAGAAACCATTTAATGAGTCTAGAAGGAGCGGCAACTCCCTTCTCAAAACAAGTCCGCAGTTTCCCCACCTAATTGAGAAAGTGCGCAGAGAAAAGGCGACAAAAGCTGCCTTTCCCAGAAGGGACCGGGGAGCGAGAGAAAACAGGAACCCAGCAAAAGCAAGCGAAGTGCACCTTCTCTTGTTATGTGACGAGGAAGAGCAACGCCTCCAAAGGTATCAGCGGCAGCTTCCTAAAGACGCCCTAGTCTAGGGGTGTCAAACTGCCGCCCCGCGGGCCGGTTGCATCATACGGAGGCCGCGCCTCCGGCAACTTGACCCCAGCTCCGGCAACTTGACGCGGCGAGTTTGACACCCCTGCTCTAGAGCGTGGCCGCCAGTTGCAACTTCTTCCAGGGCAGGTTTGCTAACATCTGTTGCTTTTCCTTCCTCTCCCGAGGCCAGTCGTTGCTTTGACCGGACTTCAAAGCCCCTCCAAGGCATTTTTGACACGAAGCCGCGATCCCCTCCCCGCTCCTCTGCGATTGCAGCCTGACAAGACTAATTCAGTGACTCTTCTCCCTTTCCGCCATGGGGTTTAAACGTGCAAGAGAGCGGAGCTAGTCGGGGCGCTTTAATTTAGAAAAAAAATCTGAAAGAAAAAAAAAATCCAAGGGAGCATCCGGAGATGGTTTGCAGCGGCGCAACGCGCGCACGCTCACATTTCGCCCGAGGCGCCTTGTGTGTTAGGCTCAGGTGTTTGCTGCTGTTCAAGTGGGGTATGCGTGCTGTCTCTTGCGGAGGAATTGCCTCTTTTTTGTTATCTGAAAACTGCCTTTATTGTTATTAATGGAAAGGGGAAAATAGTATTTATTTATAGATGGAAGGAGGGAAAAGTGTTTTTTTTTAGTTTGTAGGATACATTAGTTACTTTTTACTCGGCTCTGCATTTGGTTCCTCTGTGGTTCTTTTTGTTAATTTTTCAGATAAGCGAGAAATTGTCAAGAACATGAACATCCCTCCCCCCAAACAACTAACTAGAATTTAATTAAGTCTTCTGGGGATGGTTATCTGTAAGTGTGATTGTGGGCTTCTTAAAAATGGTGATACTATTCATTTATGCTCTCCTATAGAAAAATTGTAGTATTATTACTTAGTAACTTATTTACTGTAGAAATAAAATCAAGATAAACAAAATCACGTTTCACTTCTTCACTAAAAATCAGAGTGTGGCTGTGTAACTGCACAACTGACTTCCCCCTCTGAAAACAAAATATTTCTTTAACATAACATAACCTGTTGTATGAATGAGGGCATGTCGTTTCTTTTCCCATCCAAGTAGTTTAGATGTTTTTCTATTTTGTTGGAGCCAATTTCGGTGTATGCCTAATTGATTAGCATCTCCTTTTCCTTTCTTTTATGCAGCATCATGGCTGAAGCAAGACAACCCATTCACCTTTTAGATGTTTGCAATCAAAAATTCTCAGAATTCTTGTTCAATGCTGAGCATAAGTGCTTGGTGTGGTTGAGAGAAATTGAGGAAGAAGCCATGAAGATATTTGATAGGTATAGAATCTTGAATTTTGCAGAATGGAAAGAGGGTTGGGTTTTTACTCCCAAGGGCTGTAAATTGATTTGGGGTCATATTTTCACAGCAAAGTTTATTGCCTAGGGTGGGATTTTTTCCAGGGTTCCAGGAAAACAGGAGGAAGTTCTGAGAGTGAGTAAAAGCAAAATAATAATAGTAATAATAGCAATAGCAGTAGTAATAAAAATAGTAATAAATTTCTCCAACCCAGCTACATTTCTATCATTAGAGCTTTGTCTGTTGGTCAGTGATTTGGGTATTTATTTCTTACCAGCAAGTTCTGCAACCTGAAAACGTTTGAAAATCTCTAGCAGAGAGCAGCATATCTACTACAGGTAGTCCTCAACTTATGACTACAACTGAGCCCAAAATTTCTGTTGAGATAGTTGTTAAGTGAGTTTTGCCTTTTTTTACGATTTTTCTTGCTACAGTTGTTAAGAGAATCACTGCAGTTATTAAGTTAGTAACGCAAGTGTTAAGTAAATCTAGCTTCCCCATTTACTTTATTTGTCAGAAGGTCGCAAAAGGTGATCACATGTCCTTGGGACACTGCATCTATAGGAGTCAATTGCCAAGTGTCTGAATTTTGATCACGTGACCAGTGGTGGGATTCAGCCAGTTTGCACCAGTTCGGCAGAACCAGTAGCTAATTTTTTGTTCCCCAGGCCCAGAATGGACTCCTGGAAGCAGCATCCACAGAGAACTATTTGAATCCCACCACTGCACATGACCATGGGGATACAGCAACAGTTGTGTGAAAAATGGTCCCCATGATCATGTGATCACAATTCAGATGCTTGGCCACTGACTCCTACTTATGATGGTTGCAGTGTCCTGGGGTCATATGATCAGCTTTTGCAGCCTTCTCACAAGCAAAGTCAATGGGGAAGCCAGATTCACCTAACAACAGTGTTACTACAGTAACTTATCGACTGCAGTGATTCTACTTAATAACTGCAGCAAGAAAGGTTGGAAAATGAGGCAAAACTCACTTAGCAAATGTCTCACTTAACAGGAGAAATTTTGGGTTCAGTTGCGGTCGTAAGTCAAGGACTACCTGTACTGTACTTCCTTTGTCCATCCTCTTTCAAATAAAGTCTTATTAATTGGAAGGAGTTTATTAATTATCCTGAGTTAATGAATTCCTTTGTTATCAAATACAAGTTGGTCAGATAATGTCAAGAATATAGTAAGTTACATTTCAGCATGGGTCATGAAAGCAAGATACAGACTTCCCTGTATTTCTGTTAATTGAAATTATTGAGATCTATAGGTTTTTTTTATTATTATTTTGGACCAGTAACAACTTTAGTACCGAACCTGAACTGATGCCCAAAACACCATCTCAGAAGAAGTATCGGAAAAAGAAGCGGTCTTCATTGTTTAAGGATGAAAATAAAGAACTAATTAGAAAAAGGTAGAAAAAATATTTAAGCTTTTTAATTTGGAATGGTACCCAAAGATCTCAGGTTGCATGGATTTTTCTTGTGCTATAAATTGCACAAGGTCTCCTGTACCTCTGTGTATCTGTCCATGTAAAAATAACTATTTTTGATGTTTGTCTGGTAATATAGATTAATAAATTAATGCAGCTTTCAGATTTCACCAAGATCATGTTCTTCTCTTTGCTAGTAATATCTTCCTATTACCATAATACACATGCACTTCCCTTTTTATTTTTCAATTAAGTCTTTAATCCTGTTTTCCCATATTGATTGATTTCAAAGGGCATTTATGTATACTGATAGACTTAGATGAAATCAACATGGTTAGACAGCTGTTGATGGAGTATTCTATGCTCATTGCTAACTAAAGAAAACTCATTAGAACGTTTTTAAAATAACTCCATTTTACCTAAAAAAATAAGCATGGTGGATAGAGTCACCAGTGAAAAAATATTCAATATCATTAATGTTGATGTTCATGGCCCTCTAAAATAAATAACTTGGTCTACCCAAAATAATGTTTTTTGATTTCTAAAGCAAATAACTTGTTTCTTTTTTTAGTTCTTTAACTGTTGACATGATTCAATTAAATGTTTTGATAATTTTTACAAATCTTGGCATAACTTTATTAATGTTAGACCCAGATGTCTCACAATTGGAATTACAGGAAATGATTGGTGTCTCCATATCGTTTACTTTCAATAGGTATTATTGTAAAAGCTTGTGATGTTATTACAAAACTTTATATATAAATTATAGTGCTTCATATACATAATATTTTCATCTCCTAAAAACTTCTCTGCAAAAGTTTCCTTTTTCATACTTGTTGAATTTCCCTGCAAACTACTCAATTTATTATATGCCAGTCCATGAATTTTATTTAAAGTCAAAGTATTATCCTTTACCCTTTTCTGATGAAAATGAAATGATTGCAATACATTTGAACACAAAGTAAAAGTTCCTTACATCTTACTTATTTTCAAGGAAATTTCCTCCCAAATAAGTATGCAGTAATTTAATTATTCTGCCTAGCAATTTTGTATTTTTAAGACACATTTATGTGCTGATGCATTTGTCTAACTGCATCTAGTAGCTTCTATACCAATTTTAAGATATGTGGACTTAGATATGTGGCTGGGGAATTCTGGGAGTTGAAGTCCACATATCTTAAAGTTGCCAAAGTTGAGAAACATTGCTCTATATTTTACTAGGTGCCTAGTCAATCTAGTAAATACATAGTGATGTAGGAAATATAGAGAGTTTCTACCAGAACAATTTTATTGAAATTGTTTTAATTTCTGAATTAACCATTTGTTTGTTTTTTAAGATTATCTAAAGGACATGGCAGTTTAAAGACTGAATCTTTTCAGAAGGTTTCTCCAAGAAGAGTACCGAATAACCTCAATGTGGGAGATGAAATATCTTTGCCAGATATTATGACGAACTCTTCTAAGGGAAGTTCAAAAGTACAGTCTGACAGGATAGCTATGGGTCCAGTAGGGGAACCACTTGGTACTGGCTGCTGTAAAAATGGTGAAGTACCGGAAAAAAGGAATGAGGGCATGAATGGAATCCCTGAAATTTTTATTGTGCATTCAGATGACCATTTAGCTGATAATTCAAGGGTCACTGAGATTCCCATTATGTTAGACAGTCCTGCAATGCTAGTTCAGAACATCACTGATCCAGTAAAGGCAGAAAAAAATGGGAATGCATCAAGATTTCCAAGTATACCCACTCTAAAAGAATCTTTAAATGGGAAGCACACATCCAGAGAAGAGATTCCACCCCAAGAATTACTTAATAATAATTTGGATCCAGAAGGAGAAGGCCTGAAAGAAAGTTCTGCTGCCTCCACAGGGTCTTTGTCAGGCCATCGTCGTCTAAGTAGACCACACAAAACTCCAAGGATCTCACTGGTGGAGAAATACTCACTGAGCAATAAAAGAAAAAGCACAATTCGAAAATCCATCAGCAGGACAATTGCCAGGAAGCAAGCAGCTCAGGACTCATCATCTGCTTCAAGTCGAGTAAGCTGTAAGTAAAGGCAATTGACCATGTCAATATGCAATTGTTGTAAGTTGTAGAAGAGTTGATAGGTCCAACTGGTTTTTTCCATAACAATACGATACAGGGCTTTCAAAAGGGGCATTTTGCAATGCTCAAGACACATTCAGGGTACCTTAAATGTAAGCATTTACATGCACGCATACATTTCCCACTGAAGTTAACTTGCTGACCTAGAAAGTGAGAGATGTGAGTTCGAGTTCTGGCTTAAGCATGAAACTAGTTGGGTGATTTCTCTCTCAGCCCAATTTGTCTCACGGGATTGTTGCTTGTGGGGAAAATAGGAGAAAAAAGGAGCATTATGCATGTTCACTGCCTTGAATGACTTATAAAATAATAAAGGTGGACTAAAGATCAAATAAATAAAATGCAAAATTTCATCAATATCACAAAGTGATATTGTTCTCTACAGTTCAGAGATCTCAGCATATTTAAGACTGTATCTACTGCAATTTGATAGTGAGAATATATTCTGATTTTTGCAAATTTAGATTAATATCTGGGCTTGCCTCTTTTCTAATTCAAATTTGCTTCCAACTCTGAAGTCAAACTTAAATCTTGAATTTATTCAGTTAGTTTAAAGCGTTTCTAGGTTTTGTTGGCAACATGTTTCCTGAAAAACTATATTTTGTCAGCAGAATTTGCCTGTTTATACTAAACAATATTACAGGTACTCATAATATAACTTCTATGCAAATCCAAATGAATATAGTTTTGGAATAAATAACCAGCTCTCTTTCCACTGTGACTGTAATGATCAAACCTAGGCTTTGTTTGACAACATAGGTCTATTTTGGTGGATAAATTTAAGGAATGTGTATTATTATTATTTTATTATATTTAAATGTATTTGCCAGTCACTTTCCAGAGACTCTGAGTGGTTTACAAAGTATTTAAAAGATAGAAACAAGACAAAAACAACAAATGCTGGAAAGTGCTAGAATTCCTCCTGCATTGGGTGTGCAGTTTCTCTTTTACTGAAAGCAATACTTATATGTATTCATATACTTACTATATACTTACTATACTTACTATATTTATTTAGTCTAACATTTCCATTCTCCAGGCCATAGTTCCACTGAAATATTTTTGAATGATGAAAACCACAAGCATGGGTAAGCAAACGTTTGAAAAGCTTTGGAGGATTCTAATAATTTAAACCTTACTGAACTTCATCTAGAATCAATAAACATATTCTGAATCTGTAAACCTTTGAAATTGTTTGGAATTTTTTAAAAAAGGTTTGACTAGAATTTTATGGTTCTGTTTACATACTCAAAATTAATGCCATATTAAAGGATTCAGAATCATTTAGCATTCAGACATCTGATTTAAGAAGTTGTGTTTTTCTAGAACTGGAAAAGAGGTTATTCTTGGTATTTATCTCTTCTCCATCAGTGCCACCAACTCTTTGAGGAATGAAGAAAAGATGATCATAATACATCATTAGACTGTATAAAATACAAAATGACAAACAACAAATAAAATTTTCCTAAATTTTAAGTCAATAGGAAGAAAATAATCCAAGGTTTAATTTTATGATGGGTGGGTGGGTGAATGTTATAAGCACATATACAGATATATACATCATTTCCAGCTTTTTGTTGTTTATTTATTTTGGTTTACTTTTTAGTTTACCTGTGTAAGTATTTATATTTCTTTGGGACAAATATTTTCAAGGATTATTTTTCTCAGTAGTGCATGTCTTTGAAAGTTGGTGTTAAATGGTCTATACAACCCATTCTAGATGTGTCTCCCATCTTTTTGCCTGTGATCCCTCTTTAAGGACAGCTCCATCTAATGAACAGTGCATTTGTCTAAATAAGAGACGACTGTGTTATCAATTATTGTAGTAAAATTCTTCTTTCCCAATTTTTTTTCTTTCATTTCAAGTTTTATACATACCAGATACTAGGTTATGGTGGCACCATTAGTTTGCTTTGATTTAATTTGGCATACTTGCCCCAAAGAGTGATCATCGCTGGCATTTTAGGAAATTGTACAATTGTACAATTCAAATGATTTATACTGTGCTACTGAAGATCAATGGTTCTTTGGAGACAGATGGGTACTTGGATCTGTCACAATCATTAGTTTTAAAGTCCTTGAAACAATAGTGTATTCACTTTACATTTATGCCATATGCAATATAAATAAGTGAATACTAGTTTGATAATATTGACCCATTAATAAGAATGCTTGAACAATGATGAATATCCAGGCTGTTATAATCAGACAGATCTCTTAAATATTATACTAAACTCCTGAAAGACTTATAAAGTTTGGGAAGAGGATTTGGGATTTGAAGTTTGGAGTCAGTTTGGATTTCTAAAATTCCCTTTAATTATATTGACCATAAAAATAATTCATAGATGGTACCCACATTCTCAGACAATTCCATTATATGAATCAAAATCTTTCTACATTATGCTGAAGGATTGTAATCGGATTAGTAGATAGGATTATTTCTGGTAGCAGTGCCTATTCCATTTTTCATTTTAGTTGAACATTTTCAAGGAAACTGGAAAAAATAGAGAAATCTATAATACTACTGAAGTATTATGTTCCATTTTTTCTAGGATATATGAATGATGGAACATTAGATTTTTTTATAGCTAGATGTTAGATTTACTATGGCAAAATGCTGGAAAACTAAATATATTTAATGATTTATCAGTGCAGAAAATAGCATTTGGTGAAAAATTAGCATGGCAGCAAAGAATCTTGAACAATCCTTTAATTAAAAATTAATGATCAACTGGTGCTCATTTTTGCCATATTAGAAAAATACAGAGATTTATTTATTTTGCTTTTGTGCTGATTCCAACATTTCAGCATTGAAGAGTATATATCTGTGATGTCCCTATGATTATTTATGGATTGAATGTACTGGTTTTAGAAATGAGTTGACTGAGGACGTACTGGTTTTTAGAAATGTGTTGATTGAGGATTTGTATATATTTGTTGTATGGAGATGATGCCATATTGTTGGCATCTACAATCTAAAAGATTTGTAGCAAACATTATATATTTTTATATGATTATATGATGCATTCAACATAGATCATACTGAAAATTAAGATATTGAAGATGAGATAGGTGATGGGAAAAATGGAGTGAATGATTGCAAGTTATGCCTTAAAAAAGAAAAATCAGAGCATGTAAATGCATATGTGTACCTTAGTAAGTTTACTAAAATGCAGAAATGAAAGGAAAAATAGGGTATATAGATACTGGTAAAAGATAATGAATAATATGTGGATTGTTGTGAGGATTGTTTGAAAAAATATAGATAGTTGTATTTAAGAGTGTGCTTCTGCACTCTTATGTGGAAACGAGAGCTGGATGTGTTAAGAAACGTGAATATACATTGGCTTCAGTGGGAATGGGTCGCTTAAGAAATATGAGTAGTAAAATAGAAAGAAATAGGATCAAGAATGAATTGGTGAATGAATGTGGTTTTAATATAGAAGTGAAAAAAAAGCGCTACACATTGTTGATATGGCCACTCAGAGAGAATGAATGAGGATTAAATTACAAAGCTAATATATGAAAGAATATATGAAGAAAAAAATGAATACATGAAGAATAGGAAGACACATTCACGATAGAATGGTGAGATCCTGAAAATGTCAGAGCTGGTACTATAAAAGAAAAACAAAACTCAGTAATGGAATCAGTAATGGAATCAGTAATGGAAACAAATATGGCTTGCAAATATACAAAATTATGAAGAGCACTGTGAATGACTTTGTTGGAAACTGAAAACTAAAATAAAGTTTAGTTGGATTTCCTTTTTTTCCTTTTTATTTCCTGCCTTTCTTTCTTTTCTTTTTTAGTACATTTGACTTCCCCCCTATATTTTACATAACATTGCTTCTCTGAAAGGAAATAGCATGGTGGGTATATATACACATATAGTCTTCATTCAGCAACCACATTTGAGACCAGGAAACAGTTGTTAAGTAAAGTTGTGACTATGCTTATGGTCTTATTTCAGTTTTACTTTGCTTTACAGATCTGCAAAAGTCATAAATACAAGGACCGGTTGCAACAGTTGTAACTATAAATGGTCACTAAATGAGGCAGTCATATGTGTGTGTGTGTGCACGCATACAGTACATCTATTTTCAGACATCCATTTCACTGTTTTTTGCATTGCTGTTTTTATGTTGTCTTTAAATAGTATCTGTTGATCACAATACATTTAAATAAAATAATGAAAACTGGAAAAAAGAATGGTTAATATTTGCCCAAATTCTCTCTTTAGGCCTTTGACACAGAATGCTGAATTAGGAGAGGTAAGGTCTTGAAGATATACCTATTTAGATTTACATGATGGATTGACTTTTGCCCTTAGTGCAGTTCTCTGAACTCTGATCACAATTCTTAAGATATTTCTAAAGTTATGCAGTTGAATTTACCATTACAGTTAATTATTCAGCCAACATTGTGGGTGACTAGTGCTTCAAGTCATCTATTAGAATGCATAAATTTTAATTCTGTGGAGAGGTGAGAATGCCCAATCCTACTGAAATCAATGGATTTAGGTCCATCTAAATGCAGAGGACCTGCTGGGACAGAAAATAAATACGCTATTCAGCATAACTTTCAACTTCAACTCTGCAGTTTAATACCCAATATGATTTTGGGAAGGTGATTTTATTTGACACTTGTTTTCCATTCATATGTGTCTTTTCTGAAGAATTAATTTTGTGTAATTATCTCATTTAGGGAGGTTTAGCATTGTATAATGGTGAACAATCAAGTAAAGGAAGTAACTTGAAGTTACTATGTCAAAGTGTGGAATAATCTCTGTTTACCTAGGCAGGGTATTGCTACAAAAAGATTTTTTAAAGCAAGCTATTTTATGGATCAGTTTATATGACTGGGCTAAAATTGCAGATGATAGTTTTATGGTGTCATTTCAGTATGCAGTTTCTCAGTCCATGCAGATACATACATATTCCTCATAATCTAGTCTTTCTAGACTGTGGAAAGTTTAGAAAAAAGTTTTATTGGATCTTCACACATAACATATCATATTCAGACTCCTCTTCTTGATAAGTATTTTTATGACTTTGACTGGGTCTCTCTTACTTGGTACTAATTTTGTTTTTCGTGAAGATGGAAAATAGAAAATTAACAGGATGTTATGACATTCCTCTTTGCCTTCCTTGGACAATGTGAGGAATGTTTGTTATTGTATTCATATGTAAGTAAAGGCTACTTTGAGTAGAACTAGACACCTGATGAAACACCTTGATATTGCTTTCTTAGTAACAATGTAGAAATGGTTTGCCATTGCCTATTACTGAATGCTTTTTTCCATTTCTTACCCACCCAAGCACCGTCCATCTTTTTAAGAATTGAAAATGTCAGCTAAGAGCTGCCGCCTTCAATGACATACTTATGTGAGATGTTATTTAACAAAAATAAAAAATAACCGTTCTTGCATTTGTTCCCATTGATAGCCCTGCTGCTTTAATTTTTCCCCCTGCATTTTCGAATCAATCAGCATCTTGACACATACAGTCAACTTAAAATGAGAGCCCAGATATGGGAAAATATTGTAAGAGCAATATTCTTAGATATATCTCTTTATCTAGAAAGTGCAAAAATAATATATTGTTTTTTTTTCTTAGCCTCTGAACAGTCTACAAAAAGAGCCTTGTGTTCTGGATGCACCTAGTCTAATTGTTAGCACCCCTTTGCACAACCCAACACAATTTGAGAGGCACCAAGACAAGACTTGCAATAAAGGTAAATAATGTCATGGACAGATGGGACTTTTCATTAAATGCTGTTAAAACCCTTAAGCAAATTATTCTATTTTTCCCTAGATAGTTTTTATGCGTACGATCTTTGTCTAGACTTTTATTTTTAAGTCATAACATAAACAGTTTGCTAGTATATTTAGTGTCACTGTAATTAAAATTTATGAAGGAGTTTTGAATCTTGATATAGTTTTTCTATTTACATTAGTGCTACTAAGAACAAGTTCTGACCACCATATATGCTTTATTTCAACTTAGCTGTTTTTATTAGGCAAAAGGATTTTGTGGCAAGACCTCTCTTACTAATTATGCTTTTCTTGCAGACAGACTTGAGACTACTATTACTGACTCCCACATCAGTAATTCTGAAGATTTAGCCATGAACAACAGTTCCCATGAACCAATGCAGAATATCCGGTATCCTTCCTTCCTTCCTTCCTTCCTTCCTTCCTTCCTTCCTTCCTTCCTTCCTTCCTTCCTTCCTTCCTTCCTTCCTTCCTCCCCTCCCCTCCCCTCCCCTTCCCTCCTCTTCCCTCCCTCCCTCATTTTGATATACCTATCAGTATTAGATTTATGAAATGAAATGGTTTGAATTCTATCAGTTAGCAATTATCTGGAAAATAGGAGACAGACGGAGTCTGAGGTACTCCTTCACCTCAGTATGTTCACCACCCAGAGTTATTCACAAAAATGTTAAAGACAGGATATAAATAAATAAATTCCTGCCGTACTGATACAGTATTAAAAGAAGATAGATAGAACTGCCATTATAAATGTTCGTATGTAATGGGTTGAAATTATTAACACTGGCTTTTTTATGAAACAGAATCTTGTGAATGGTTGGATTCATAGCTCATGAAAGTGGAACACTTTATTTTCAGTGCTTTATACATACATACATACATACTTACATACATCCTCTCTCTTTCCCTCTTTCTACTTCTCTCTTTTCCCTGACTTTAAGACTTTTCCAAGATTTTCCACTTTGACTTTTGAAGAGACTAGTTTTTGAAGGAGAACTCCCAAACTTTTTGGATATGCTGAATAGTAAAAGTCTTAAGTTATTCCACTAAACAAGGATACGCACACTGTATAACTGAGAAAACTTTGTGTATTCTTTTTTCCCCAGGAAGCAAAGTTATAGACAAGCAGTGGAGGACCTACCTGCTCCTTCATGCACAGAAGATAAAAATCCTAGTCCTTTCAGTCATACAACCACATCCACTTCTGCAAAGAAAATGTTGCCAACATCTGGCCCATCCAAGGTAGGTAAATGTCATATTAATATACTCTTGTGTGTAATGCCCAAGCAGTAAAAGCAAATATACTTTTCTGACAGATAATACGACCTTTCAAAAACTTCTTTCAAACCATGCAAAAGAATCAGCTTCTCAAATCTCCTGGGTCTTCAGGGAACAAAGTCCCCAAACATAGTACTCCCTGTAGATCTGCCACCAAGGTAAGAGGTTTTTTTTATTATTTAAGTTTAGAAATAATAACAATCTCTATATCAGGAAGTCCTGCTAAAATTGGTTAGAGAAACCAGATCTTTGTAGCAGAGAAAATGTTCTGCATGATGGAGTCTAAGTTCAACTCCTGTTTCAGTCATGTAGGTCTAAGAGCCTGTGTTTGTGAGAGTGTGTGTGTGTGTGTGTGTGTGAGAGAGAGAGAGAGAGAGAGAGATGAATACGATGAATATCAGAAAACTAGCTGCTAATGATACTAATGTATTATTATAAGACAATTCTATGCTTAAAGAGTTATAGCTCCTTATGCCATATTCTTGCACCACAGTGGACACATTGATTCTATAAAATACCACAAAATGGCACTATGAGAATAGGGGGATGTCCATTGGGGAGATCAGTAAGAGAAACTGAATGTAGTCAACTGTGTTTCTCTTCAAAGTAGGTGTTGAGGTAATATACAGTAATTTCAATGCTGATGTCCTTGCCTGCTGTGGCTAGGAGGATAAAGGTATTTATTCTGAGCCTGCTGCCATATTGCATTTTTCTATAGTCCTTTGGTTCACTGATGTAGATAGGGCTGTTATTCAATCACACTGATACATGAAATAGTCATTAGGCATTTATGTTCCTGGAAGTTAATTTGTATTTTCTTTCCATGTTCATTCCACAAAGGGGGAGTTTGTTGTAAGTAACTATCTTCCTTATTTTCTGGGTTGTGATCCTAGTCCTTCAAATTGTTTAAAAACACTTAACTGCCCTAAAACCACTGTTCACTCTTATTTTGGACTTGAGTCATTCTGCACGTACTGGTGTTTTGCACTACCACATTTCCTTGGTGTGATTTAATCTGGATACAAAAAAATGGAAGAAAAAATTGCTGGCAATTGGGCAGCAAATGGTCACAGCAACTTCAGTTAATATAAATCTTCCATAACCTCTTAGGAAAAGGAGCGCCAGCGTCTGGAGAGTCTTCGAAAAAAACAAGAAGCAGAGCAACAGAGAAAGCAGAAAGTGGAGGAAGAAAAGAGACGTCGGTTGGAAGAGATAAAACTGTTAAGTACCTGTTTATACCCGCATGGAAATAGGGATTTCACGGAATAAGTGCTTTTAGTGATAATGTTGTGCAATACAACTTTTGTAGAATATGGACACTTCAGGAACAGATACATGTTTATAAAAATATAGCAAAATTACCAATGTAAATTTTTTGTGAGCAACACAAAAAAGCTTCATCAGGTTAAACTAAGTGCTTTCTACATATTACACAGAAAACGTGAAGAGCGACTGCGAAAGGCATTGCAAGCTCGAGAACGAGTAGAGCAGATGGAGGAAGAAAAAAAGAAGAGAATGGAACAGAAATTTTCTCAGCTTGATGAAAGAAATGACAAGGTATAAAATGGCCTGACAACAGATTTTCTTCATGATTGTCTTCACATCTTAACAGTCGTCTGGAATGTTCAAACATCATATTAAGCCAGAAATTTGGAGGGAACAAAGAAGAAGCTGGTACATTTTGCTGGGTAGTTCCACTTATGCTATGCTTGAACACGTCCAAGGAATAGGAACCCACATTTGTTGGGATAATCAGTTCCAATGTCAGATTGCTCTTACTGCTAGGATATTTTTCTAATATTCATTCAGAATTTCTTTAAATTTAAATCTATTATTTTACTTATTACACTCTGGATTGATAGAAAACAAGTTATGACCTCCTTTGCTACCAAGAAAACCACATGGGAGTGTCGATAAAATGATTTGGAGTTGAATTCAATTTGAAGGAGACTTTACCTTGGCTTTTAATGTCCCTCTAGTCCAGGGGTAGGCAACCCAAAACACTCAAAGAGCCATTTGGACCCGTTTCCCACTGAAAACAAAACGCTGGGAGCCGCAAAACCCTTTTGATATCTAAAATGAAGATAACACTGCATATATCCTTTTTTACCTTTATTCTCTCTCTCTCTCTCTCTCTCTCTCTCTCTCTGTCTGTCTCTGTCTCTGTCTCTCTCTCTCTCTGTCTCTGTCTCTCTCTCTCTCTCTCTCTCTCTGTGTGTGTGTGTGTGTGTGTGTGTATAGCTCAGAACGGAGTTCCGGCACCATTTTTGGATGGAACCTTGTAGGGTAGGCAAGGTGGATTGTATAATGTGTGTGAGTTCTGGCACCTTTTTTTTTTTTTTTACAAAAAAAGCACTGTGTATATAAAATAAAGGTAAAAAAGGATATATGCAGTGTTATCTTCATTTTAGATGTCAAAAGGGTCTCTGTGTGTGTGTGTGTTGTCTGTCTCTTTCCTCTCTTTCCTCTCTCTTTCCTCTCTCTCTTCATCTTTCCTCTCTCCCTCTTTCCTCTCTATCACTCTTTTTCCTCTCCCTCTCTNCTCTTTCTCTCTTTCCTCTCTCTTTCTCTTTCTCTTTCCTCTCTTTCTCTATCACTCTTTCTCTCTTTCCCCTCTTTTTCTCTTTACTCTTCCTCTCCCTCTCTCTTTCTCACTTTCCTTTCCCTCTCTCTCTTTCCACTTTTTCTCTTTCCTCTCCCCCTCTCTCTTTCTCTTTCCTCTCCCCCTTTCTCTTTCTTTCCTCCTCTCTTTCTCTTTTCTCTACCTCTTTCTCTCCCTCTCTTTCTCTCTCCTCTCTTTCTCTTTCTTTCCTCTCCCTTTCTCTCCCTCTTTCTCTCCCTCTCTTTCCTCTCTCTTTCCTCTTTCTCTCTGTCTCTTTCCTCTCTCTATTTCTTTCTCTCTTTCCTCTCTCTTTCCTCTCTCTCTCTTTCCTCTTCCTCTCTCTTTCTCTCTGTTTTTCTCTGTTTACTCTTCCTCTCTCTCTTTCTCTGGCACTCTCTTTCCTCTCTCTCTCTTTCCTCTTTTTCTTTTCTCTCCCCCTCTCTCTTTAACTTTCCTCTCTCCCTCTCTCTTTCTCTTTCTCTCTTTCCTCTCCCTCTTTCCTCTCTCTCTCTCTTTTTTCTCCCCCTCTTTCTCTTTCTCTCTCTTTCCTCTCTCCCTCTCTCTTTCCTCTTTCTCTCTCCTCTCTTTCCTCTCCCTCTTTCATTTCTTTCCTCTCTTTCTTTCCTCTCTCTCCCTCTCTTTCCTCTCTCTCTTTCCTCTTCCTCTCTCTTTCTCTTTTCTCTTTTTCTATCTTTCCTCTTCCTCTCCCTCTTTCCTCTCTTTCTTTTTCCTCTTCCTCTCTCTTTCTCTCTTTCCTCTCTCTTTTTCTCTTTCTTCTTCCTCTCCCTCTCTTTCTCTTTCCTCCTTCTCTTTCCTGTTCTTCTCTCTTTCTCTCTTTCCTCTTTTTTTCTCTTTCCTCTTCATTTCCTCTCTCTCTCTTTCCTCTTTTTCTTTCCTCTCCCCCTTCTCTTTCTCTTTCCTCTCCCCCTTTCTCTCTTTCGTCTCTCTTTTTCCTCGCCCTCTTTTTCTCTCTCTCTCCTCTCTCTCTTTTCTCTCTTTCTCACTCTCTCTCTTTGTTCTTTCTCTCTCTCTCTTTCCTCTTTGTCTTTCTCTCTTTCCTCTCTTTCTCTATCACTCTTTCTCTCTTTCCTCTCTCTCTTCTCTCTCTTTCTCTTTCCTCTCTTTCCTCTTCCTGTCACTTTTTCTCTTTCCTCTTTCTCTTTCCCTCTTTCTCTACCTCTTTCTCTCTTTCCTTTCTTTTTCTTTCCTCTCCCTCTCTTTCTCTCCCTTTCTCTCCCTCTCTTTCCCCTCTCCCTCTTTCCCCTCTCTTTCCTCTTCCTCTTTCTCTTTCCTCTCTTTTTTTCTTTACTCTTCCTCTCCCTCTCTCTTTCTCACTCTTTCCTCTCCCTCTCTCTCTTTCCACTTTTTGTCTTTTCTCTCCCCCCCTTTCCTCTTTCTCTTTTCTCTTTCCTCTCTTTCTCTATCACTCTTTCTCTCTTTCTTCTCTCATTCTCTCTTTCTTCTCCCTTTCTCTTTCTCCCTCTTTCCTCACTTCTCTCTCTTTCTCTTTCCTCTCTCTCTTTCCTCTTCCTCTTTCCTCTTTCCTCTCTTTCTCTTTCCTCTCCCCCTTTCTCTTTCTTTCTTCTCCCTCTCTTTCTTTCCCTTTTTCTCTCCCTCTTTCCTCTCTCTTTCCTCTTTCTCTCTCTCTCTTTCCTCTCTCTTTCTCTCTCTTTCCTCTCCCTTTCTCTTTCTCTCTCTTTCCTCTCTCTTCTCTCTCTCTTTCTCTTTCTCTTTCTCTCTCTTTCCTCTCTCCCTCTCTTTCCTCTTTCTCTCTCTCCTCTTTCCTCTCCCTCTTTCATTTCTTTCCTCTCTTTCCTCTCTCTCCCTCTCTTTCCTCTCTCTCTTTCCTCTTCCTCTCTCTTTCTCTTTTCTCTTTTTCTATCTTTCCTCTTCCTCTCCCTCTCTTTCCTCTCTTTCTTTTTCCTCTTCCTCTCTCTTTCTCTCTTTCCTCTCTCTTTTTCTCTTTCTTCTTCCTCTCCCTCTGTTTCTCTTTCCTCCTCCTCTTTCCTCTTCTTCTCTCTTTCTCTCTTTCCTCTTTTTTTCTCTTTCCTCTTCATTTCCCTCTCTCTCTCTTTCCTCTTTTTCTTTCCTCTCCCCCTTCTCTTTCTCTTTCCTCTCCCCCTTTCTCTCTTTCGTCTCTCTTTTTCCTCGCCCTCTTTCTCTCTCTCTCTCCTCTCTCTCTTTTCTCTCTTTCTCACTCTCTCTCTTTGTTCTTTCTCTCTCTCTCTTTCCTCTTTGTCTTTCTCTCTTTCCTCTCTTTCTCTATCACTCTTTCTCTCTTTCCTCTCTCATTCTCTCTTTCCTCTCCCTTTCTCTTTCTCTCTCTTTCCTCTCTCTCTTCTCTCTCTTTCTCTTTCCTCTCTTTCCTCTTCCTGTCACTTTTTCTCTTTCCTCTTTCTCTTTCCCTCTTTCTCTACC